GAATTTTGAACATGTATCCGCTGTCAGGCCAGTGGTGGGATGCAGCATCGAACAAAAGTAGGTGAGGACAATAGTCTGGGTGAGACAGGAGAGTAAGATGCTAGGAAAATTAATTGGCAAGTGAAATAGGAAAACTGAGCCAGAGAGCTGAACAAACTGGCTAAGCAATTTACAGCAGATACAGAAAGTTATCTCCCCAGATATAACATCTAAGCCTCAGTTGTATTTCAGCTCCAGACCCAGAAAAACCAGGTGGGCATTGCCAGGACCAGCTGCGATGACTAATGACCACCCCTGCTTTAATACTGAGTGGAGTCTAAAACATGAAAGAATACATGTGGAAGGCTGATGAATATTCTGTTGAAACCTTCCCTAAACTCTCAGCTTTAAAAAAAATCTTCAAAACAAAGAACCTGGTATAAGCTTTCTCTCCCGGAGCATGCTCCTGCCTTTCCCTTCTCCTTCTTCTTTCCCCACATGTGTGCAACTGCTAAACTGTAAGGGTCCCCATAGACTTACAACCAAGGGAGCAATGGGCAGTGGCAGCTCACTCCATGTTCACCCCCTGAACCTGTCTCCAAGTCTCCCTTTTCTTTGACTTACCAGTGGTCCAAAGCAGCTCTGCCTAGGCTCTCCTATTGCTTCTTCTATTGTTTCACTGTCTCTGGCTTTCATAAATGTACCATCAAAATCACCTGGACTTGTATTGTGAAATCTTTTCTGCACAAAGTCAAGAACCCACACTCTACTGGCCAGCCTGATGCAGAGTGCTCAGGGCTAGGTCTTTCTGGTAACACAGGATTTCCATTGGTAACTGGTTGATAGATCCAGGACAAGTGCTGTGTGGAAAGCACTGGGTAAGGGAGATTGGGTCTTCTTGGAGTCTGGAAGATCAGTGAGTCCTTTGCACTCTTCACCCTGGCTCGCTGGGAGAGCTGAAGAAGCCTGACCTAGCCAGTGCGCCTCCCTCACGTGCTCCACACCAGCTGTGGTGCCTGCCCTCACTTCCAGGGAGCCAGCCCCTCTCAGTATTCGAGGAGTGGTGGAAAGGCAGCACGTTTGTTAAGTCCCCCTGCTGCAATGATCTCTGTAAAAGATGAGTGGGTGCCGCTGTGCACATACCAGCACCCATGTCTCCACGGGAGAACATTAAGCCCCTAGCAGCATTCATCTGCTACATCTGAGTAATGAGCTGTAAAGTTGACATTAAAGGTTTAATTATTATTAATGCCTTGCAGAGTGGCTGGAGTAAATTATCCTTTAGGCATCCCAAATGCATTTCCCTTTTTCTTTCATGTCTTCTCCCTAATGTCCTGACCTCACCTATTGTACTGGTGGCTCAATGGCAATCTTTGAAATCAGTTCCTCTACAGGGCAGCATACAGAAGGGAGAGAGGGCATGAGGATGAGGACAGCCAGGGGGAGAAAGGAAATGGCTGCAGAAAAACCCACTTAGTTTCCTTGGCTGGGCTGGGGAGGCTAGAATTTCGAGTTCCTTTGTTTGCACCCCCACCCCCTCTGCGGCCCCCATAATAATAGCTCACCTGCTCCTGGGCCCTAGTCATGGACTAACTATTTAATCTTATAAAGGGCTCTGAAGGTGAAAGGTACTGGGAGCAGTTCTGAGCATCACCATTTCTGAGTGCTTCCACACAGTGAGAAACAGGCCCTGACCCTGGACTAAACTGCCTCTCAGCACCGTCTCTGACTTTGATATTTTTGCCCTCCAAAATGTGTCTTGCATCTTAAAAAGGTTTACTGCCCCTCTCAGTTTTGCTCTATCAGATGCTGATCTTGGCAATGCAGTGGGGTTTAGTCAGGAGTGGTCTCTCTCTCTCTCTCTCTCTCTCTCTCTCTCTCTCTCTCTCTCTCTCTCTCTCTCTCTCTCTCTCTCTCTCTCTCCCCTTTCCACCAAAGGCTGCTAAAGAGCATGGCTGTCTAACTAGACATGCTGCAGCCACGGAGGCTGCTTGCTCCCAACCCTGCCCTCTAACCTCCAGGCCAGTGGGGAGTTGGGCCTGCCCACGCTGCCCCAGAAGCAGTGGTAGGCTATGTGCAGCCCACTTCCTAACTCTACTTCTGCTGTATCAGAACCTGGACTCGTCCTTTCCTGGTTCACATGCTAGAACACCTGCTCTCTCCTCTGTGCAGAACTGGTACCAGCAGTTTTTCCAGACCTGTGTGAGGCATGCTGGTTTACAGGGTTGCCATGTCAGATAAGTTTGTCACTTCTAACTTTTCCCACTCCCCCAGACCCCACCCTATCTCAGGAATAACCTGAGCATATATGAATTAACAAGCATATGATAGGGCATAAACCTGGTGTTAGGAGCTCTCCTTGGTCCCAGGATTGTCAGGCAAACACAGCACAGTCCTGCTCTGGGGCCTTGGTGGAATAGGTCTAATCCAGTGGGGAGTGAAGGACAAGAGCCTCCAGGATGAGGCGAGCAGAGCCTGGGATGCTGCCTGGTTTGGGGGAGAGAGAAAGGGCCCAAGGTGCTAGCAAAGACGGACAGTTCAGAATCACATGAGGTTACAAGCCCAAATGCAGAACTGAACTTACCACCCTGTTGCTTACCTACCTACTGTCCTCAGAGAGGATTACCTTGGAACCCGGGGTTCTTCATGCTGATTATACAAAATGCAAGTAAGTGGTGCTTACAAGTGTCCTGTGTATCAACAGAGCTAGTAAGCTAGTTGTGGGCAGGCAGAGTGGCCATGTTAGTGTGTCTTCAACATGGGGTGAGAGGAGGTGTTTGTGTTGAAATGGCAAGAAAGTGCATAGAGGGAGGCTCAGCAGTGAAACAAAGTACACACTGGCCATTCCTGCTTGCCCTTGCCCACAGTGAAGAAAGGACCAAACAGCCTCATAGTCGATGTCTCTTACAATAAATACTGCTTTTGAGCATGGCCCTCTTAGTCTGAGACTAAGGAAATGGAGTCTGTCTGTGACAAAGTGATGTTTTCTTTTGTACACCTCGTTGAGGCCAGTTTTTAAGATTAACAGTAAGTTCTTTTCTTCAATACATCTTACCTCAATGGATCTATCAACTTCTCCATGTGGTCACTGCTGAAAATACTGCAGTCACAGAAATAAATAAATGTTATGTTTGTTTTAAAGTTGTGATACACCGAGTTCAAAGAGAACAAGATATTCTGTCATTTTGTCAATGTAGCCTGAGGGCTGCAGCAGGCTTTCTCAGCCTCAGCACCATGGACATTCTGGACCGGGTACCGTGCATTTTAGGTTGATTAGCGGCATCCCTGGTCTCTACACATTAGATGCCAATAGTGCCTTTTCCCCAGTTGTGACAATCAAAAATGTCTTCAGAGATTGTCAGATGGCCTTTGGGGGGTGAAATTGTCCCTGATTTGGAACCCTCAGGCTGGGGGCTGACTGGCTCTTGTGTGGCCCCCAGCCTCTTCTATTCTTTTCTGATCACGGTCCTTAGGTTGTAAGTAGCACTTTGCCCAGCTCTTTAAAACTTGGGCCTGTGCCAGTCTACTGTGTATGCGGAGCAAAGCTTGCCAGGAGGGATGTTGCTGGAAGCAAACTGATGTTTTCCTCATTGAATTCTGCAAATCCTGTGTGCTCTGTTTAGTGGGTTGGTGGTGCTATTTGGCAGTTTGCCAGCAGGTTCCCTCAGCTCCCGTTGCTGCCATTGTTGACACACAGATGTGGGAGGTGGAGGTGTAGCAAGCTAGTAAATCCTCTGCACCCGCTCCCCATGCACTCCTGCCTCGGGCTTTTGGCCTGTATTGGCTGATTCAAAGACTAAAGAAATCCTTGGCATGGACAGCCCCTGGGAGAAAATGCAGCTCTGTTAGGAAAATCCTTGAGTTTTGCCACAGGAACAATAGTAAGGTTTTTGTTTGATTTTTCTGCTGGCATAGAATTGGCCTTTGGCAAAGCTTACTCAGCTGAACCAGTGTGGGCCACCGGTAAACAAGAGGAAGAGAAACCCAGATGGCATTGGCCTTTATGAAACAGTGAGAGGAGCTGAGGACATGAACAGTGACATCAAGTTTCAGAGTAGTTCAACAACTTACCGCTGAAGCGCTTAAGATGGCCAAGAATTCTGTCTCGGTTTAGAGCTAGTCACTGTTGGAGACCAAAGATGGCAGATCACTTTTGGAAGGGTTACTAACCTTTGACAGGGTAACAGGAACACCCATGACATTAAGGGGATACTATTTTATGCTCTTCATATTGTCCATCAGGACCAGACTGCTGTAGGCATCAAAAAACTATGAGTCATGGTTGAGGGGGTCTGTGACAGCTGGGACTCTTTAGAACTTACAAAACATTGAGGGCCATAGTCCCAGGGAGGCCTCCACCTTCCACGCTGGACTGTCTCTGGGACTACATGTCACAGGTGTGTACCACGAGTGGGAAGGACACTATAATCTGTGCAAGTCTCTTGCCTCAACTTGAAACCCCCTTGAGGCAGGTTTTGAGTTGCTGGGACGTTTCAGAGATAAGTAAGGAGAATTTTGTTGGGAGATAATTGTTGGAATTCTGGCAGATAGAAATACTCCCAGTGGAGATAGATCAGGTCAGCATGGAGAGGTGGATGAGAACAGTCTGGAGTCAGAGCCCTATATGGAGATCCTGCCCTAATTAACAGGCGTGGGGCTTCCGGCCAGTTACTTTCTCTCTCTCCATGTCTCAGTGTCCTGACCTGAAAATGAAGATCATTTAGCTCCTGCTTCAGAGTCTTTTTCGGCACAGAGTGAGCTGGTGTGTGCCAAGGTCAAGGACAGTACCTGGCCCCTCACACACATGACTGGAGAGGGAATGACATCATGGGCGCATCTAGTGAACCCTGTTGTCCAGGAAGGGTCATGGGTTGCATGTTCCTTGGACAAGGGTCTGTTCCTTTGAAACACTCCCCACTCGAGGGCATCTCTGCACCTGCCCGGGCCTGGAGCCCACACTCCAGGCCGCCCAGGCAGCAGAAAGGCCACGCTGAGTAACCCGCCTTGTGTTTTGCTTTCAGAATCCTTCCCAGCTTCCCTGTGGCAAAGCCCTCTACAGTTACGAGGGGAAGGAGCCTGGTGACCTCAAGTTCAACAAGGGGGATGTCATCATCCTGAGGCGCAGGGTGGACGAGCACTGGTTCCACGGGGAGCTGCGTGGCGCACACGGCTTCCTGCCCGCCAGCTATGTGCAGTGCCTCCGGCCCCTGCCGCCCGTCCCTCCCCAGGGCAAAGCCCTATATGACTTTGAGATGAAGGACCGAGACCAGGACCATGACTGCCTGACCTTCACCAAGGTAAGCTGGCCTCTGTGCACAGCCCTTGCACAGCAATTCCCCACCCCGAGCTCACGCCTTCCCCGTGAATCCTGTTTCTTCCCAGGGTCTGAGTCCCACTGAGCCTCCTAAACGGTAGAGGAATCTGTCCATCTCCCAAGGAGGTTTCGTTGGCTGGAGTGAGATGGCTTGGCTGCCAGGAGCGACAGGGCACTCTTGGAGCAGGACCCTTCCTCACCCAAGAGGTGTCTACGCGGTGACTGGCGGGAGGAATGAAGTCTTTCCCAGGCTCACAGACCCTGTGAGAGAACCTCACTAGGAAAGCTGCGGGGGTCCCTTTCAGGTCGCAGGGCCGGAGGGCTGGGCCCAGAAACCAGCATATCGCCATCCCGTCTTCTGGGGCACCAGGCAGAGGGTGGGCAGGTGTGCTCAGGTCCCACTCTTTCCAAGAGGGGCCTGGTTAGGGAAAAACTGACCAATATTGGCCAGTGGCATGGAGGAGAGCAAGTGAACAGACTTGTGGACTGTGCTAGTAAGCATCGAGGACCAGGGTGACAGCCCTAAGCCCTTCCCATCCATTCTCATCTTGGGCCTCCTCCTTGTTTGCAGGGGGGCAGCAGGGAGCCCTGGAAGCTTCTGCTCATACTTGGAGGTTCCTGTGGGTTTGTTACCTGTGCTGGGCTTTATCTTCACAACCACCAGGTTCTGAGAGAAGTGTTTGGAGCCTGTTGTCCACCTAAGAAATGTCCAAGCTATAGAGAATTTTTACAATAGTTTGAGCCAAACTGAAGGCATATGCCAGGAGCAAGGTCCCAAATGCTTCACAGAATAACAGTCTGAGGCTTGTTTTTTGCATTTGGAATTAAGGAGAGAACATAAGGAAGGTTACATGGAGGTGGGAGAAAGTGAATTAGATTAAAGGAGAGTTAACAAGATGATGTGCTCTCTTGAAGGTGGTCACAGTTTATTCAAAGGGGTGTTAACGTAGATGCACAGAATCAAGGGACAGTGTTGCCTTAAGGCAAAATTAAGCCTTTTAGTAAATTAAAGAAGTGTTATGATTGGGGTATCACCTGCCCAGTTAGGAATTTATGAATCAGATTACCCTGTGAGGTTACTTTCCATAGGAGCCCTTTTCTTCCCTCCTCTTCCCCACCCCACATAAAGTTGTAAATAACAGAGCTGAAAATCTAACTCACATCTCTGACTTGAAAGCCCCCATTCTTTCCACTTCTGAGAGGACATTGGTGCCTCCCTGCCTATCTGTCTCTCTTCATCTGTACAACTTGGCTGTGGCACTGAGCCATCTGTAAGGCTGCTGAGGTATTGGGCACACCATTTTCGAACAAAATTTGCATGTCCAATGCATAGCTGCTGTTTGTCTTGTTCCATCCCTCGGCCTGACAGAGAATAATCTATTTTTCACTCTGGTGTTCTGAGGCTAATTACAAGTGTCTTCTGGCTGATGCAGCCTCCCAGGAAGCCAGCATCCAGGCTCCTTCCTCCCCCTCACCCCTGCCCCACAACTCTCCCTCTCCCTCTTCCTCTCAGTCTGAGGTGAGAATGGCAGGCAGCCCAGTGTCAGGCAGACAGACCCTTCTCTGACCAATAGACTCTCCAGAGCTGCCTTGAAGATGAACTCCTCTAGGAGCCCTGATGCTCTGTGTCATAACTTTTGACCAAGAACAGGCACCCCAGTGACCTCTCAGAGTCCACAGGGCCCTTGCTAACCTTGTATCTGGGCTTCAAAATTTCAGCTCTTCAGTGAAGAGCTCCCCGAAAAGGGACAGCTGCAGAGAGCCCCCCGCCCCATCCCCACCTCTGCCCCCTCTGGGCCCTGCCCTTGCCCCATCCTGCTTCTCTGCTGTAAGGTCCATTATTTCAGACTCTGCCCAGGACACTCATCTGCAGGGTGAAGACCGTGGGACCCGAGGACAGAGGGGCATTGTCTACTTCACAGAAATGTAGCAAGCCCCGCCCTGTGGGAGCCATGTAGGATCCCAAGGGTGCAGACAGACTCACTGCTCCCCAGGGGCATGAAGTCCAGTGGGAGAGGCAGGGAACAGCAAGTCTGGGACTAAGTACTCAGAAGATAGTTTCAGAGAATAATGAGACACTGGCCACCCAGGAGGCAGACCTGTATGTAGTAAGGGCTCTAAATATTCAGGGATATAATTTAATATTTGATACTTAAAGAAGCATTAAAGTAGTCCTCATGGGTAAAACTAGAATGCTCTTAGGCTTCCTTAGAGTTATTCTGTGGTTGGTGTTGTTTTTACTTTGAATTATGTTGTGGGGCTTGTTTTGTGCTGGTCTCAGTCTATCCAAACCAATGTTGTGGCTGGACCAGTCCTTGTGGTTCTTACTATGATTATAAAACATCATTCAACAGTAACCATCAGGAAACTTTGGAAAGACAAGGTTTGCTACATACAGTGAGGTTTAGATGAGACTGAGCATATGGGCCTGGGGTCTGCTTTTATTCAGGTCAAGGGTGGGAGACTAGGTTTCCAGGGCTCACTTATTTTTTTTATTTATTTATTTTAAATCTGTATTGTTGAGAGTATTACAGATGCCCCTCTCTCCCTCTGTTGCTCCCCTCCACTCATTTCCTACCCCTCTCCAGGTCAACAGCACTATTGTCTGTGTCCGAAGGTAATGCATATATGCATATAAATTCTTTGCTCAATCTCTTCCTTTTCCCTCCTTCACCTTCCCTCTGAGATTCCTTAGTCTGTTCATGTTTTCATGACTATGATTCTATTTGATTCATTACTTTATTTTGTTCATTAGATTCCTTGTTTGTTTATTTTGATTTTTATATTCAATTGTTGATATTTATTTATTGCCATTTTATTTGTATCTTTTTCATCTTTAAAATATATATTTAGTGAAAGTATTACATATGTCCCCTTCTAAGCCACCTCTACTCCCCACACACCTTCCTACTCCCCACGTCAGGCCTTCACCACTTTATAATCTGTGTCCATGGGGTATGCAAGTTTGTCCATGGGTTATTCTTTGGTTGATTTCTTTCCACAACCCACTCTCCCACACCTTTTCTCTGAGACACCACAGTCTGTTCCATGTTTCTATGTCTCTGGATATATTTTGTTCATCACTATTTTGTTCATTGGATTCCACATATGAGAAAGATCATGTGATACTTGTGTTTCTCTGACTGCTTAGCATAATACTCTCTAGGCCCTCCATGCTGTCTCAAAGGGTAACAGATTCTCCTTTCTTACTGCTGCATAGTATTCTATCTTGTAAATGTGCCACAGTTTCTTTATCCACTCATCTAATGATGGGCACTTGGGCTGTTTCCAGATCTTAGGTATTGTAAATTGCACTGCTATGAACATAGGGGTGCATATATTCTTTATGATTGGTATTTCAGATTTCTTAGGATATCCTACCTAATAAAAGAGTAATATGCAAATTAACCATCACTCCCCTACACCCATAAACCATGCCCATGAACCATGCCCACAATCCAATCAGGAGCGAATATGCAAATAAACCCAACCAAGATGGCTACAGCCACAGAGAGCAGGAGGGAGGCTTGTGTTTCCCAGGCAATAGAGGAAGCCAAGCTTTCCGCCTGCCCTTGCCAATCTAGGCCTTCACTCAAGGCTACAAAGTTTTAATTATAGAAGGTAAACAAATCCAAACAGAAATGGCGGCAGCCATGGAGCTGGAAAGAGCAGGAGGCTAGGGTTGCCCTGGCAATGGAGGAAGCCAAGCTTTCCACACATCCTGGCCAGCCCAGGCCTCCACTCCAGACTACAAAGTTTCAATTATAGAAGATACATAACCCCAACAGAAATGGCTGCTGCCACAGAGCAAGCAGAATACTTGGCTCTGCTCCAGGCCACAAAGTTTCAATTATAGAAGATAAACAAATCCCAGATACCAGGGCCTCCACTTGGGTCACCACGGGGCATAGCCAGCCTGCAAACCACCACAAGCCCCTCTCTCAGTGTGCCCCATGCCCCAAGGGAACCCCCACCCTGATCTGGGAAATGCTTCAGGGAAAACCAGCTGGCCCCTACCCATGTACCAGGCTTCTATCCTATCTAATAAAATAGTAATATGCAGATTGACCATCACTCCAACACACAAAATGGCTGCCTCATGTGGTCAAAGATCCTGCCCCCATGTGGACACAAGATGGCCACCATAAGATGGCCAGCAGGGGAGGGCAGTTGGGAGGGACCAGGCTGGCAGAGGAGGGAAGTTGGGGGTGACCGGGCATGCAGGGAAGGGCAGTTGGGAGGGACCCAGGCCTGCAGTGAAGAGCAGTTGTGGGGGACCAGGCCTGCAGGGGAGTCCCTTTAGAGAAGTGGCATTTGACTTGTGGTTGAGGGGCAGAGCAACTGCCATAAGAGAATCTTGGGTCTCCTGTTTCTACAGGAAGCCGGATGGGCAGGGACACATCTCAGGATGTTTTGAAGGACTTTGTTTTCTTGAATCCTGGGGATAAATGTGGAGAGTTAGAGACCCTTGGTCATGATCCTCAGTCAGAATTGTGCCAAGTTCACATAACCTTCTTGCCAACACCCACTCACACCTCCTGTCTAGGGTGGAGCACACACTTGCTAGATACCTGCTCTGTCTGCATCTCTCACCTCCAAACATCTCCAAACAAAGTATCCGGAGAGCATGATGAATGCATCAGGCTCTTTGGCTCCCACTTGGTTTCTGTCTCCTGTTGCTGGCATTGTCCTTCTGCTATTTTTCTTCTATAGGTGTCTGAGCCAGCTCCTGGCCACCAGGCCTGGGATGCTGGTTGTGTAGATGTCACACCTCCAGTGACCAAAGGGTCTTCATACTTTGGCTTTGTTGGGGCAGCCAGCTGGATTGCTGTTGGGCAGCATCTTGTGTGGATATGCCCCATGTGGAGTCGGTAAGGAAAGGGGAGTCTCTAAAATCCACAGAGGGCTCAGAATGCCTTTAAAATACACCATAGTGGTTGGATTGATTGGGTTTTAAAGGCATGAAGGAGGTGGATCAAAGCA